GGTCATAGTCCTCTTTTCCAGGCTCATTGAAAGGGCTTGCTTAAGAGAAGCAAATTGGTTTGCATCATGTTGGCTATTTCCAAACAATGCCCAAAAGAAGAAACCATTTGCTTAAGCAAAGAGTGACATGCGCATTTTTCTTGTAATCTGTATCTGTGAAAACTGTTTCACTCCAGAATGCTGTATTGTCTAGGAAACAATGTCTCCATGTAGGGGCTGACTAGTGATTATCAACAGGGAAGTCTTATGCCTTAAGGTATTTTCTCTAAGAAGTTGGCTGTTTTTGTTTTTCTTGTTTGAGTACCTCTTATGCATCTTCAAATAGAAGAGAAATCAGTAATTTGCATGACAATAATATAGCAATTCAACTAAAATCAATTGAACAGATATTTATAGATTGTGTATTCTATATTGTAAACTATGCTAGGTAGTACAAGGCTGATGAAAAAATAAGATATAATTATCACTCTACACTAGAGAAATTAGTAGGACCACATTAAGATCAATGGATAGCAAACTATGGAATTTCTTTTGAGTTTGTCAGTTGTCTAAAGTATCTACAAATAAATATATTTAAATACATATTACTATGTCTTCTCTCTGGCCAGAAACTAAACTCATGGCCAGAAACTTCAAATTCCATATTTTTTAATGAAATATCTCTTATGTAGTTAAATAATATCTTAATATATTAACATAAAATGCTCATCTTTACTAGACAGGGGAACCGTAACACTAGTAAATTATGATAAATATTGCATTAGAAATACCTATTTCATGAGAAGATTATAATTATGAAGGGGATACAATTCTATGGAGTTTTAAATTATAGGAGTATTGATATTTGAGCTGATTTTCCAGGACAAATAGATTATTCCAGACAAGGAGGGGAGAGACATTGCTGGAAGCGGGAACATAATTACCAGTATTTTTATTCTGAAACATACAGGCATAAAAGTGTTTAGCTTATTCAAGAAAGAACCAGGCACATGTGTTGTCAGACCTGAGGGAACAGGCCCAAGTTAATTCTAAATGTTAAAGTGCTTATGTTCCGAGACTACGAAAAGATTCATTAAGTGTGCCTAAGATGTTTTCATAACGTTAACATTTACTTAGGAAAAAAACAAATCTGTTGCTTCGTTTGTGTTTTTAATTAAACTGAGTTTTGGAAATCCTTTCTAAGTAGGCAACCTACATGGGAATAAACCTCTAGAGGTTCATCAAATTTACTGTAAATTCTAAAAACACCAGCCTTTTTAGATAGAAAACATCAGGCATCTAAGAGGAATCTAAACTTGCCTAAAGATCCCAAAGATGTTTTTCCTGGAAAGGTTACAGTGATAAGCAGTGTATCATTTGCATGTCATTAAAAGAATAACAGGCCCACTACCACAGCCTTTAAAAAAACATCACATCTGGAAAATGTAAATACAATAGGCTTTTTTGGTGTGTTATTCAACTCAGTAGACTTTATTGATTGCCTCATGGGTGTATATTATTGAAGAGATAAATCAGATATTACAAGCTAGAAATAAAAGATGATCTAAATCATAAAGAATGTTAGAATGATTATTGTGATCATTATGAACGGTCACTCTGACTTTCTTTTTGTCCAAATATTTTATTCTCACAAACATTTAGGTTTAAAATCAGAAAAAAATAAATTATCTAATATATAATTTTACAAATACTAGTAATCCATAGCTTATCAAAATCCAAGTTAGTACTTATTCCAAGTAAAAAAAAAACAGTGCGAAAAGATTACACTTTTTCACTAATATTTCCAGCATCTTAGGAAATTTTCCCAAACTTTTAAGGACCAAAAACAATACCCTCTCAAAGAGAAATTAAGTGGTTCAGGGTTCAACAAGCAAGGAAAACTTAATTTAAGACTGCTGCAATAGGGGAGAGAGATCGAATTCAACCCACTGAGTTAGAAGGAAGGAGAGTGTTTTAGGCAGCTGGGGCAAGCTTGTAAAAAAGTGCTCTTTGAGCCCACAGGCCTGGCACAGTGGTTGAGCATTGACCTATGAACCAGGAGGTCATGGTTCACTTACCTGTCAGGGCACATGCCCAAATTTGGTTTCTGGCTAGATTCCCCAAAAGGGGGCCTGCAGGAGGCATCCAATCCACAATTCTCTCTCATCATTGATGTTTCTATCTTTTGTGCTCCCTCTCCCTTCTTCTCTGAAATCAATAAATAAAAATATATTTTACAAAATAAAGGTGCTAGGTGATATTCAGGGGAGGTAGGTCACTGTGATGATTCCCACTGCCTTTGCTGGTTAGCACTTAGGGGAGTGAGGCTCCAGCTCTCCCACAGAGACTTGACAGTGCAGCTCTATCTCCTGTGATGGTTGCATTTCAAAGGCATGGCGCCCAGGTCCTTGAGCAAGTCATTCCTGGGTTGTAAAACCGGCAATTGGCTGGAAGAAGATTTATATCTCTAAAGGGACAAGAGCAAGATTTTACAGTTGCAAGTCTTCTAAAGCTGATGCTCTAAGAAAAGGGGGGCCCAGGGCTCAGTGGGGCAGAAGCACAGCCTGTGTGGAGTGTAGTCGGGCCAAGGGGCATGATCAGAGGCTGCTGTGGTCTGCTCTTCTCTCATCTGAGCATTGACACCATTTTGACATTTTGACGTATAAACACAACAGTGTTATATGGCCTGAGCATAAGATTTTGGGATCAAACTTATTTGCATAGTATTTCTACATTCTGCAGAAGCAAACAAACCTGGAATTATGGTGTTTAATTATACTCTTTCTCACTCTAAAATGGGCTTTTTTGCTGGTGATTTTTAAAATGTATTTACATACATATTATCTACATATGTGTGTGTATGTTTCTAGGCATGTGTTTACAAAGAAATAGGTTAAAATTAAAGTTGGCAAAAGGAGAGGTTAGCATTAAAAAAAAAAAAAAAAAAAAAGAACCCAAAAAACAAACAGACCTCAGAGGCCTTGATTAGTTCTTAAAGAAATGTTACAAATTTGCTTCAGAGTTTCCGATATATTAAAGCAAGGAAAGCAGCATAAATTGCAATAATGCCCCACACCCTCAGGATTAAGGCAAACCAGAAATTTAGGATAATGGTTTTTCTGGTGTTGAAACCTAACATATATACATATATTTGAGTGCTCATAAGGACAGCATTTTTTGTGTTGGCAAATACTCTGCTAAACCTAATAACTCTCCCTTCCTCTCTGAAATCAATACAAATATATTTTTAAAAGTTTTAAACCCAATAACTGAGTTTACAGCTCTGGTTTTCCCTTGTTTATCATTTTCTTCAGTGATATCTCTCAATACATACTCTTGGCAAAATCCCAAATCGTAATTCAGTAAAAGTAATGTAGTTAGGAATGAAAATAGAGACATTCATATACACAGCTCTGTAAAGATAGGATTGAGAGTGTCTAGAAGAAAGAATTACATCACAACTTCACCTTTCGGTGGGTGGGGAGCTAACCACACTCTTGCCAAGAATCTGGTGAAACAAATTTTGGGAATACGAAGTTACCAGTTTGGGAAGCAGAATTTGGAGTTCCCAGGTCCTTAATAGATTAGGTCTAGATGCCTTAACAGTTAGCCAAGGACAGGATGGACTTTATCCGCCAGAGACTTAAGATTCAAGATTTGTTTTTTTTAAACCTGCAGCCAAGCCTAATGGTTTGGGGTATATTTCTTTTAGAAATCCTTCCCAAATCCCTCAGACTGGACCGGAAGCTCCTCTTCTGTGCTTTCATGTGCCGTGTAAACCTTTATGTGAACACTGTACCCCATTTTATTACAATTATCTTTTTTACATAAAAGCATCCTTTTGGGCAGGAACAATGACTTATTTATGTGTCATTCATCTTTATCCAGGAGCTCTATCTATAATAGAATAGTGTAAGCACACATAGTATATCTCACTAAATGTTTAACTGAACAGACAGGACTAATGCTCTGAGCTCATTAAAGTGCCTAGCGTAGTACCATGGAATGCAATTGTACCCTAAGCAAGTTTTGGTTTAAGCTCATAGGACACCATACAGCAGGTGCTCAAAAGAAAGCTGTGGAAATGTTTGTTACATAATCACACACTGCTTATCTCTCCACATGTTATTCAATATTAATGTTTATTTGCTCAGTTGTAGAAATGCATGAGTTTTTGTTAAACCTTTGGACCTGATAACAATTTGTGCTAAGGAACTCCTTTTTTTTTTTTTTTTGTATCTGCTGTGGGTAAATGAGATCTTTGTTCTGATAATTTTATCACAATTTTAAACCTGATTTAGAGAGCATAACTGGTTGACTGTATGGCGAAAAAATGTGGTACCTCTAAAACCACATTCTGGCCCTGGCTGATTTGGCTCAGTGGATAGAGCATCGCCCTGTGGACTGAAGGGTCCCGGATTCGATTCAGTCAAGGACACATGCCTGGGTGCAGGCTTGATCCACAGTGGAGGCTGTGCAGGAGGCAGCCAATCAATGATTCTCTCTCATCATTGATGTTTCTGTCTCTCTCCCTCTCCCTTCCCCTCTGAAATCAATAAAAATATTTTTAAACACACACACACACACACACACACATTCTGTTCTTTCCTTGAATGAAAAGGAATTCTCTACTTCAGGGAATAAACATGTTAATAACCTTTCCTTTGGTTTAAAAGGAAACCAATGAGCTCATTTTCAGGTTGGTTTTGCTTTATCCTTTGTTTTGTACATACCTGTACTTTAAGGAAAATTATCATGTTTTCTTTTGTGTGTCTTATAACATGACAAAACTGTTGATGGGATGAAATAAATCTGTGAAAAGTCATATAGGCCAGGTCCTATACATAACACTTTCCACCTTTTCTTGGTAGGTCTTCTCAGCTGAGCGCCACTAAGTGCTTTGTGCATCATTCGAGGGGCAGAATTGCTAAAATCCCCGGTGATCTTGTCTACTTGGCCTCCTCTCCCTCTTCTGAAATCAAGAGAAGACTGCTCCAAAGACTCCTCCTGGCATTGCTGCAATGTCTGTATCTAATTTATCATGGTACGTAAGTCATTTCCTAATGTAATTATGTAAACACACATATTTATATCATGAAGGGACAGTCTGTACGTTGTACTGTGAGAACTGGAGCAGGGAGAGAACTTGAAAAGTCTCATTGTTCCAGCAACTTAGAATTGAAAAGTTGGCACTTTCAGCACTCTGGTATCTGGGGACTCTGGGAAGGGGTCTAGCCCACCTACCTATGGTTTCCAGTGACATCAGCACCTTCCTTTCCAGCACACCCAGGGGGAAAGAGGAGTTGGAGTTAAACATCCTTTCAATGTTCCTATCTGCGGTTATACCCCCATCCACAGCACTAAAAAGCCATAAGGGTAGCTCTAAGGTTGGGATAGGTATTGTCTCAGTACTTTTCTTCAGAATTCCTGTTTCAACAGCTCTACCCAAATTCAACTGAATAGAACTCAAATAGGAAAGAGAAAATTCCCTTATAAATGTCTATCTTTCAAGAAATGGCATTCTGAACAATCTTTTATTTACAGTTTATGTTTAAAAGCTGTTCATGATTTTAAAAAAATAAGTATGAACATACTTTTCTAGCAAGTAATCATCTTTCAATGGCAGTGAAGAGGGGTACTAGCAGGGGTGTGTTTGAAACATTTTGTTGAACTTTGAATTTTTTTAAATATGCAAAGAGCTGAACAAGTGAAATGCAAATTCACAGTATTCAAAAAACACAAGTAATTGTCTGTTTTTGTAAGTGCCCCTCTCATCCTTGTCTTCAGCTTGTGTTGGAAATAGAGATAGCATCAGATTAAAGAGTGCTTTCCGCAGCTTAGCTCCATGAATTTATTTTTAGTTAAACATGCTATTTTTTTTTTAGGGCAAAGAGTAGAATTATTTGCTTAGATACTGAGTAGTGTTTCTGAAGGACCTAATTTTAATGGATTCCTTAGATTATATCCTTGAATCCCTATTGGGTGCTAGGGATCTCAGTTTGGAAAAAAAAAAAAAAAAAAATATATATATATATATATATATATATATATATATATATATATGTAAAGAAGATAATGCCTATTCTGTAAAAATAAAGGAAAAAAATTTAAATGGTAACTTGCTGCTGTAAAATATGTTTTTATTATTAAGATAAAAATGGAACAGTTTCTATAGGACTTACAAACTCCTTTGAACCTTTGGGATATATTAAGGACACATTTATTTAAAGGCATTATACTTCTGGCAAATATGTGTACAAAGTGAATTCTCAAAAAGCAGGCTGCATGCCAAGAAGAAAAAGAAAGAGAGGAGGAAGGGGAGAGGAAAGGAAAGGAATAGAAGGATGAGAAGGATGAGGAGGAGGGGAGGGTGAAGAAGGAGAGGAAGAGGGAGATTAAAACACAGCTATGAAGGTTGTATCTCACCATTGGGTGTAGTTGGCTTAGCTCACAGAGGCTGACGGTGGAGCCTGTCCTTGGTGTGCACCTCAATGAAGAGCTGCCTTGCTGTGATTCAGGGATTTGGTTAAGGGCCATACAAAACCCAGTGAACTTCACACAGAGAGAGAGCTTGTATGTTGTGTGTGCCAGCCCAATGGCCCAGCCCAACACCTTTAGTTTAGCAGATGTTCTATAAATTCATGCTGCATATTTCAGTGAAAAATGCAAAGCAAGTATTTCAATGGTAAAATAGTATTTTCATACTAAAATAAAATTGAAAATGGTGGTAGTATTTTACAGAATTCACACATATGAAATTTAGTAGAGTTCTTTTCATGTCAAAGGCTCAAATTTTACAAAAAAAAAAAAGTTGTGGGCATTTTCATTCAACAGTGCCCTTAATTCTGGTAACTGTTGCTCATTAGAGTTCTATGCAGGGAGCTGTAACTGGTTTTACCAGTGTTGTGCCATCGTACAGCTGTGCGGATTTTAGCGACTCCATTCTCCATCTTAGCATTTGCGCTCCCCACCTGCTGGCCAGGGATATAGGAAGGAAACCTAAGATATGCAAAACAAATTACAACTCATCGATTCAACGAATTCCTCATGAACCTATGTTATTTTGTGAAGTTATTATAGTCCAGGGTCTGGCTCTCTGTTTGAAATCCAGTAACTCGGGTATAAAAATGCTGACATTGCAAAATAAATGGGTTGACAGATGATTAATTTGAAATAAAATATGTACGTTGAAAGTGCACAGGATGCTTGATTTGGCCTGACCAGGGCAGTCTATAACTGTTGGGAATCCAAGTGGGAAGTCTGGCTGAGGTCGCGGTACCATAGTGAGGAAAGTTACCTGCTTTCAAGGTTCAGAGGAATCAGGACAGAATGCACCTGGCAGGACCTGTCTGTCAGGAAGGATGTACGTGCCAGACACCTCCATCTGCTTCTCAGGGCGGCTTCTTCTTGGCCTAGAGTTATAGTAACACGTGTTTGTCTCTGTCATTCTGAATTCCACTTCTGCTGGACTCTCCTGGGCTTGCCTTTCTCATTAACATCAGCTCTGAGTTTATAGTGAAAACCGAATTTACTCTGTGAACAGTTTGGTCTGCCTACCATGATGTGGTTCGTACCTGACCATGTCCGTGTACTGCTTTTGCAATTTAACCCTCAGGTCTAACTGGGGGGACTAGTGCCTAATTGTACTTCCCATACCAACCTAGGAATTTAGAAAATGTAGGTTAAAATAATTACGTTTATGTTTACGGTTATCAGGTAATACACCCAGCTTTCAAATACCCAGTAGAAGCAAGTTACCATTTTACATAATGAAATAAATACTATCTTGCTCTAGTAATTATGTGTCCGGCCTGTGAACGAAACATAAAGTAATTTGGCCCTTTCTCGAAATCTCAAAAAGAAAAACAATTTCGGAAACTTCCAAGTTTCTAGGAACCTGCCATGTGGACCAGCTAAGGAGAGTGGTGGGAACTGACTTGAGGTGTCACCTGGTGACACACTGCAGACTTCTGTCTCCTCCTGCCCGTAGGTAACACCAGGCAGACAGTGATAGAGCTGATGCTGGGAGATGGAGAGAGGGATGCGCAGGGTCAGCTGCAGACACCCAGGCACAGGGGACAGGTTCCAGGCTCTGCTCTGAGGGAGAGGGCTGTTGCTGGCAGCCAAGATAATTAACAGGAGACTCAAAGAGGCACAAAGAGTTGAAAAAGGCTCCAGGATCTGTAATGCAAAGAGGGAAATGGTGATGCCAGGGGCTCGTGGTAGGCTGTAACGTGTTTCTTCCCTTGGTAATCATCCTCAATCCTTCCTTGTAAAAATATTTTATTATAATATATATATTTTATATCTATACTGTATATCTTACAAAATATATGCACATGTATTATAACATATGTAGAACATTTAAAAACATACATTAAGCCATGTAAATATTATCGAGTGAACATGCATATGGCATTTACCAGGCACCAGGCACTGGTTTAGACATTAGCTGACATTAACCCACATGCTTATTAGGAATGTAATATGATGATTTGCATCTCCACAAATGGAAAAGTTAAGCATAGCAAGCTAAGTAATTGGCCCAATGTGATAGCCATTAAGTAGTGGAGTTACTAAATTCTGAAAAATTCTAATATATATTTCTATTCATATTATACCTTTTCAAATAGAAATCACTTTATTATTCACAAATTAATACTATTTTGATTTGGGCTAGACACTTTAATAAACACATTGTTTGTAGAGTTCCCTGACCATTTTGGCTTTGTACTCTATGCCTTTAAAAATTAAACATTTATAGGAAACTTCTTGGGTATTTTTCTCTATGTATCTACCTCAAATGACTTCTTCTTGAATAAATAAATAATTACTAAAACAGAGCATTTTACTTTTGTTCTTAAACAACAGTACCATTTAAACATGAATCACATTTTGAAGAAAATTGTTCGGTAACTTTTGGACTGCTTAGGGAAGTTTGCATGCTTATGAAATTAATGAATCTGGGGTTGCAGGTTCAGTTTTCACAGGGACCAATTAGTTTAACTCTCTTTCATAGCAAAAGCTACATTTATGACCTCGACGGGCCCTTCTTCCCAACCCCGCCATTGATCTCAAGTTTTTAGAAACAGTTGAATGATGATCACCATTTGACAGTCAGGATTGGGAATAAATATGAACACGTGTTTTTAGGGATTCATAATGGGTCACATATATCATCTTCCTTTTGAATATCATGTAGGACTATACATATGTTTTGAAATATGTCTTTTCATCATTTTCAGAGGAATGGTAATTTGCTTTGCTGTGAAAGATTTACAATGAATGATTACAGCAATGTTTCCTTATTGTAGAAGCTTAACATAAAGCTGGGCTGTCCATTCCCACCTTAGACTAGTATTAGTAGACACCAGCCCTTTTTGAACTTAACCATTAGGATAAATGCCAGTGGATGGTCTATGAAAACATTTTAGTTATTTAAATGGTTATGTAGGCAAAGGTATGTAATTTCCAAAATTAAGTTGACTATAAAATTTTAAATATCTTTTGCCAGTGGCATATAACATATTCAGTGATTGTGTTATCTTAATATATAAACCCCATCATCATTTTGTGTTTATTGGATTTTGTTTGTATTTTTAAAATATATTTTTATTTATTTCAGTGAGGAAGGGAGAAAGAGAGAGAAACATCAATGATGAGAGAGAATCATTGATCAGCTCCCTTCTGCATGGCCCACACTAAGGACCAAGCCCACAATCTGGGCATGTTCCCTGACAGGGAATTGAACCTTGACATACTGATTTATGGGTTGATGCTCTACCCCTGAGCCATGCCAATTGGGCATTGTTTGTATATTTTTTACTTGTTTTTAAGATTGTGAAGAGAGTTCACCTTGATTTTAAAGCTATTCCAGTTTAATTGAGATAATAAAAAAAACACTTTTTAACTCTATTAGATGCTCAATGAAAGAGATTCATTCATTTATACTTCATTTTACATTCCTTTTTAAAGGATAGGTTCATTGTTATGAGTTTCAGAGTAATTTAAAAATAATTCCTGCACAGTTAGAGAGACAAATTA